CTGTAGGTGTGGCCTGCTTTGTGGGAGTGGCTTGCCGGCCATGTGACCAGGTGGGAGTGGCTTGCCGGCCATGTGACCAGGTGGGCGTGGTCAATTTCAACTCCCAGAATTCCTCCTCTTCATCTTGATGATGTGCAGACAGGCGGGGGGAGGGAGCTGGAACCGGTTCTAAACGGCACTGTAGATTTGTGGAACCTCTTCTGTAGAAGAGGTTAGCACTGGCAGGAACCCACTCCTGGTTGCTTATGTTTAAAACGCATAATGGAGAATGCTTTTAGTTCCTTTGTTAGATAATCTCTGTTCCCAATGTGCCCAGATGTCTTGTTTGGAGAAATAACCCTGCTTCAACAGTGTGTATGTTTCAAAAACAATGGAGAAAACCGCGAAGTAGCCTAAAACACACTTCCTTATCCATTGCACAATTGAACCATGAACGTATTCAAAAGTGGACCTTGCTGTGAACAGGTCAAAATCCCCTAATAGGACTTGTGCAAAAACTTTCCACATATGACTATTCTAGGCTCTAATTCAATTGAGACTTTCTGAGGTACAAAACATTACAGCTTTAATGCATATTAGGAAGCTGCTATTTTTGCCCTGTATATCTTGGCCCTTAAGTTGCATTACTGTTAGTAATTGACATAACTGATAACTATCCTGAGAATCTCTTGTTCTCAGTTTAACTCCCACACTATGCACACATTTTATTGCATGTAAATATTTCATTTGTTCCTTGCCCTCCTGCTGTAGAAACACACATACAGTGGTGCCAACATAGAGGCTTTGCACTAAATGAGAAAGGAATTGGGTAATATAATTATGTTTTTGATATATGAGAGATATTAAGTTTATATCTTGAAATGAATAATATCTGTTTACCACCAACCTGTGTCCAATCTGGAGAAGGGTTACCATGTTATTGCTTTATGTGAATCACACTGATGAAATTGTTAGCTTAGGAAACATATTGGCACCCACATTATGGAATATCTTCCCTCCTGAAGTGAGCCTGGTTTCATCACTTCTGAGTTTTTGAAGGTCCCTCAAAATCTGGTTGGATAATAGACCTGTTACTGTTTTACTAATTATGGAATATGTAATGCAAAATTAAATGCTTTGGCTCAACAAAAAGGCAATCTATTTTGTACTATTATTAGCATTCAATTCAGTGTAACTGAAAGAATGGAATGATATTGCTTAAATCCTTATTAGATTCATACAGCAACAAATTACTGATCACAGGACCCAACTTGGCAATATGGTCTCATCTTTCTGACCCTTTCTAACATCGAGATATAAATAAAAGCACATCAAAATATATAATCGAAGATTCTTAAAGGTCTTCATTATTTTCTATAAAATATATTAAGATGCAGCTTACTTTGTAAAAGAATCAAATTTGGGAGTCTAGAATTATAAATACGATATTATGGGAAAACTGGCTCAAAATGAACTATTCTCCCAAATATTACAAATTCTGCAAATATTAAAGGAGACATCTCAAGCTGGTTTTCCTAATTTCTCTGCAGTAAAGTGCCATTAAAATGTTCATCAAATGCAAAATGGGGTGATTGAAACTCAAAAAACCGAAGTGGAAAATGGATATAAAGAGACTAAACCTGCTGATATCTATGGCAATTGGTTTGTTCCTGAAAATGGAAAGAATGGAATACAGAAAGCGGAATTAAATGGAGAGGAAGTCTATTCCAAAGGTCAAGATATAGAAGAAGATAAAATTAAAGAACCTATGGATTTAAAGAAAGAAATTCCACTGGCAAAAGTTTTGATAACACTGCTGACAATCAAAGACAAACTGAATAAGGAAACCGAAAGAGGGGATCAAGATTATATGAGAGCTCTTATAAGCAAGGAGTTGCTAAGAGAAGTCCATACAAAGCTGATCAAGAAGATGACTAGAGGATTGGTACCACAAATGGCAGAAGATATGAGGTTGTTTTGTTATTGGAAAGATACAGGTTGATAGATGGAAGAATATAACTTAAAGCTAGTTAAACTTAGTGAAGTTTAGTGATAATAGATATAATTAAATAAATAATTGATAATGATAATAATGTATACAATGTGTAGTGTTATGATAAGTAATAATTGGATATAAATATTGAATGGTACCCATGAAGGGAAGATTAGAAATCCTTTTGGATTACATACAAAGGTTAATAAAAAAGAACTAAGTTAGATACAGTTAAGTTTTGATTATTAGGGGGGAAATGTTATGATACAGGATATAGTCGAATAAAGGAGGGATAATGATGACAACCTATATATATGTATAAGTATAATATAAGGAAACTAGATGAAAATTGCCTACAGCAATTTGGAAAGGAGGATTAGAAAAGTTTGTTATTAAATATTATGGATGTTTAGCTAGAATAGGTCATAAGGATTCAGTGTTATTGGAGGATTTTAGAAATATTAAATGAAATGCCAGTATGTGGTTATGTATTAAATCTTGGTATATTTTATGATGAAGGACGTTTAAACAATTATAGTCAAATAAAAATGGAGGTATAAGGGTAACATGTATAAATATTTGAGTTAAAATACTTGAGTTAATATGAATTGTGCTCGATGACTGTGGAAGTGATGCATGAAAACCTTTTGTAACCAACTGATACACTTTCTACAGTATGTATAGAAGGAAGATTTTATGTGTTGTGGTTGTTTTGAAAATAAAAATAAATTCTATTTAAAAAAAAAATCCAGTACAAATCAAACATAACATCATAATTTAACCCATCATTTCATTTAAAATCTAATTGAACAAACATTTCATTGAAAATAAATCCGGAAAACCTATTTGCAGTAAAGACCCAGTTTAAACCGAACAGTGTATGAATCTGGGAGAGGCAGAATCTGTACTATAGCAGATGGAATTTTTTAACTGTCCAATCACCTTATATAGTTTTTAAAAATCTGCAGAAAAAAAATATTCTCTTTTGTTTTGTTAGCAGTAAGAAAATCACCTCCAACTACACCTCCAAACTTCAGCAAGCAATTTCTCTGGTTTTTTTTTTTTTTTTTTGGTCTTTATATCTGTGCTCAAATAAATTATATGTTCCCTCCACTTTGCCTCCAGTGAAAATAAAAAAGTTATAGAAAAATGCCTCCCTCTCTCTTCACACCCCGAAGTTTCTCCCACATTGTCACTATTTTAATTTTCATCCTCAGAAACTTTTTCAAACTAATCCACCATTATCCATATCAATCCATCCTCAAGAAATCAACCGGAGTGCATGAACATTCACAATCAGTGTTATTGCAAAGCTGCCAAACTATTACATCAACAAGTGCCATTCCTTGATTTGATATAATTAAATAGTAGCGACATTATAGTATGAACCTGAAATTGCTTAGCATCTTAAAGAAGGAGCCAGCAGTTCCAAATAGTAGGAAAACAACATTCCTTGCGCTCCATAGAGCTCCAGTAATTCGAATGGAAACATAGATTTCTTCTCTTTCCTTTTAATCCACAGCTAAAATGGAAATAAATAACCTTATCTGTAGATTCGTGCAGGGGCTTTTGCAGTTATTTCCATGGGAAATGTAGCTTGCTCTAATTAATGGGTGTGAAACTTGTGTCGCCACTTGATGTCTCTTGACTTTTCTCCCCTTCACTAAACTGGGCGGGGTCAGCGCATGACACATGGGGCTCATGGGTCTCGAGTCTGATAGCCCTGTTCTAGTTGAATCAACTTTCCTGAAGCTGGTTAAAATGGAAATCTTCTGAGGGCCTATTTAACAATTAAGAATTGTTAAATTGTCCCTGTTACACTGTTTCAATTCTAAATTGTCACTATGCTATTTTATCATTACACTTTTAATATATTGTTGCAGTAAGGGCATTTTATTTTTATCAACCACCAAGAGTTGCAAGGCTGTGGTAGTCTATGCCAGTGTTTCTCAACCTTGGCAACTTGAAGATGTCTGGACTTCAAGTCCCAGAATTCCCCAGCCAGCGATTGCTGGCTGGGGAATTCTGGGAGTTGAAGTCCAGACATCTTCAAGTTGCCAAGGTTGAGAAACACTGGTCTATGCAACCTAAGAAATAAGTAATCATAAAACAAATGGCAGCGTGTCTAAAGTTCTAATTATGACAACTAAGCTTAGATGACTATAAAAGCAAGCTGGGTAATGATCCCTCTCTGCAAACAATTGGAAAAAGGTGATTTTACACGACCCCGAAGCTAATGATTTAGCAAAGCGGGAGACTAGCAGAACAGAGTGTCTGATGTAGAAGAGATCTCTCATTCATGCCAACCTTGGAAGTATGTAAACCTTTTAAACTTCTTGCTTTTATTTTGAAGAAATTGCTGCACCAATGG